TGTCAGTTTTAAACACATCAAAGTGTCATTGTGGTCTGATTCATTTTCTCCACTTCTGCTTCAACTTAAACTGTTCACTGCACGAGCAGGTCGCTTCACTGGCTTCAAAAAATGACACAAAATAAAAACTGAAGGAAAAGATAGTAGAATAATCTGCAACTGCAGTGGATTATTGATCTTAAAGGAACAGTTCAACAGTTCTTATGTTTGTGCCTTTTTGAAGCCTCAAATTTGGCTTTCATTTCATGCTGTAATGAAGAAAAGTTAGTCGACCATAAAGGTCTTTAGTTGGCAAGATTTCATTGGTCGCTTAGTCGCAGAAAAAACAAACAAACAGGTCAGGTTAATTTCCAGGGCTGGTACCTGCGGTTATTCCACAGGCTAGTTAATAACATGTCGGGCAGGAAATCCAAAGTGTGGGATCATTTTGAGAAGGTGAAGGATGAACCCAAGGTGATATGTAAACTCATCTTCATTGGTCGACTACAAACATGAGGTATCATCTGAAACATGGAAGTAGCTACATGCCCATTAGCCCACAGCGTCATTAACAGGCGGCTCGCTCAGTGTGTGACGTGCACTTGTAGATAAAATATAGGCCTATATTAATGAAGGTTCATTAGTACGGTTTTGTATTTCTCTGTAATGTAGCACAGTGTTAACAATGTTACTGATACTATTCTTTCTCACACCTTCAACTCAAACCACCAAAATAAATCATTTAATCATTACATTCATATCAGAAACATGCAGGAGACTAGTCGACTAATGGCTCTAAATGACGACTATTGATCGACTAGGAAAATTCTTAGTCGGGGGCAGCCCTAGTTATTAGACCTAGAGACTGGACCCTAAGATGGCACCTATTAAAAACGATAAGAGTTGCTTGCTTGGCGCTCAAGCCAAAAAAATTTCAAACTTCCAGGTTTACCTCTGTGATATGCAGCTCACTAAATAAGCACAGTAGTATTTCTCCTGCTGGCCCTGAAGTATACAATAACAATAACCAAATCTCTAGAAACAAAAACACATGAAGTGACATTTATCTAATTTTGCTCAAATGTTTACTGTAGCATAAAACAGGAATTTTTGGGGAAACAGCTGGTGTTTGTTGGCTTGTTTTCTTTACAACTTGATGATTCTCACTCTGTATGTGGGATTCCCCTGCCTTAATTCCCATTGTTTGAAAAATGTTTTGCACAAAGTACACAAAGCCATGTACGTGTTGCCTCGTATTGGTTTCAACCAGCTGGGAAATCTTGGTTAAATAGCCAATTTCAATTAAATTTTCCCCATCTCGTTCAGGGTACAGTGACATCAGCTCGCTATCAGACAGTGGATCCTCTGCTCTGGGCTACAAACAATATATGAGTGTTGTTGGTTTCACTAAACTGATCTGAGTGACGTTAATACAAGAGGCATTCAGTAATTAATTTTTTTATCAAAAGATGTTAAATGTTATTCTGAGATTTTTCAGTGCAACTTCAGAAACAATTTACTCCTTCCTTCTTCCTATGTCTAAGCATTTTTAACACTTTTGAAAGATTAATTTGAGATATTTTAACACCAATTTAGGCCTTGTTTTTAGATTAATAATTGAAATGCCTTTTCAGACTTTTTATGGATCTGCTTAGCTTAGAATAAAACCTGTCAATATGGTGGGACAGCTCATCTGGCTCTGTCCAAAGGAAACAAAATCTGCCTCCCAGTTTATCTAAAGCTCAAATTTGCCAACCACCAACAGGCCAGAACCTGTTTGGATGCTGGGTGCTGTTTCATTTGGCAACTGTGTCTCAGCCTGGATAAGTCCACATCTACCATACCTAATGGGGCCCAGATTCATCAACTATCAATGTTTCAGGACCTGTTTTGGTGCTGGCCTCCGATTCTTGGGCCCGCGTCTGTAATACCTAAGTCTAGGACAGACTTGGTCAAAGTAAATGGGAGCTGGCTCACATTTGGCACCATGGAGCCAGAATTGGATACCTGGCTCACTAATCACTAATGTTAGACAATTGCCCATTTGCTAAAGGCAGCAAGAGTAAAATGTTGAATTGTCATTTCTGGATCTAAGTTAGGATTAAACAAACAAGATAAAACATTTTAATTTAAAGGTGCTAACAGGTGGATTTTATAACACACTAACTACATTTGGACAGAGCCAGGCTAACTGTTTCCCCTGTTTCCAGTCTTTATGCTAAGCTATGCTAACTCGCTGGAGCCTTATTCAACATACAGATATAAAGCCCTGTTTCTACTGAGCAGTGCGGTACACTTTTTTTCCCCCCGTTTCCACAGTGAAAAGTTGTGGATGGTACCAGTGGAACCGTTCCTTAGCGTCCCCATGTTTGGTCCCCCCTCTGTTGGGGTACCTAGGACACAGATCTGGTACTAAAAGGTGGAGCTGTGAACACTGCAGTCTGATTGGTCAGTAGAGGACGGTCACTCTGCTCAGGGCTGAGTTGTGTCTGGTTTTGAGGCTCATGTAACCACTGTTCATACTGTGGAGAGTTTTATTAGTAAACTGTATATTTGACTCTCCACAAGAAAGTTATTAAGTGTATTTCCTGAAATGTCAAACTTTTCCTTTAAATCAGCCTGAAGGGTTGAAACAAATACAGGTTTAAAATGCAGCACTTTGGGACCTCCCTTCTCTCAAATGTCCTGAAGGTTTCTACCAGAGAGAGAGAGACAGAGCAGGAAAGAGACATTTCATGTCCTTTAATGACACATCTGACCAAAAATAACTAAAAACACCTTCAAACCCAGCAGCTCGCTGAGAGGAGAGAGGCCCGCGGCGATGTGGCGCTGTCAGCACACTGGGACATACATACAGTAATGAGGTTAGCTCCCAAATGGCACCCTACCATTCTTCAAACGGCGATGACATTAGGCTCCATTCAAGCCGTCACCTACATAATGTAGTGCACTTCACGGCTTTCTACACTGAAGCCTGTTTTCTTCATAATGTATAAAGTCTGAACTCTGCAGAGCCAGGAGATCCTCTGATCGCTGAAAAATTAATCATGTCCAACAGGAAACGTGAGGAGGCAGAAAGAATAAAGGAAACAGGTGCTGCTGAGTAAAGCTACCAAAAATATTTCACATGAATAAAATAACTCTCCTCACTCCCGTCAGTGCATTTCACTCTATATATTTCCAGCTCTCATCCTGTTTATTACATTCAGTCTTTTCTCAGCTGCTGCTCATCAGAAACAGGCAGACTTTTTGGCACGTGTTCATTTCCCCATAATATCCCACATCATTACATGGATGTTACACACAGACACCATTCAGAGGGACACAAACAATTCTTTAAAAATCACAGCTGCAAGTCACAGCTATCATCACTACCTCACTCATACTGACATTTTGTTCTCTTTCCATCCATCAGAGGGTGCAAGACGTGATGTGAGACTCACTGAACAACTCAGATCAGCTTATTCTCGTCTTCTTTTAGCATTAAATAAAAAGAACAGAGAGCAACACCTGCTAATGCACAATGTACTCCTACCTCCAAGGTTAAACAAGGCTGACAGGAGTAATGTTACTCATTACTTAAATAAATACAAATCTAATTCAGATTTAATAAACTGGCTGAGTGGAGACAGACCAGATGCAAACATCTTATATATGTTGAGGGAATCCGATAAAGATAAAGTCCAGGTTGATGCTGCTACAGTTTATAAAAAGGATGTTTTTTTTAAGAATTCAATAACCTAAAGAAAGTCAAATTTTGATGCACGTTTATCATTAATTGAAAACTATAATTGCTTTTAAGGCACAGTAACATAAATAACTTTTTTTTTTTCAAGTTCTAAATCTGTGTTGCAGTGTTTAAAGTTAAGTTTTCAATTATTCTAAGCTAAATACATGTTAGAAAATATTGAATTCCCTCTCTTTTCTTTTCCTGTAAGACATTAGAACAAGTTCAGTGACTCTTGAACCCAAGTTCGTGTACTTAAACTTGTCCAGTCATGATGTGATTTGGGGTGACTGGATTCCAGCCTGCAAAAACGGTTTGCTTCTCTTTAAAACCATCTCAAAAATCCACATATTTTATTATACTCACAAATGCGTCACATTACAGGAGCTAAACACGCTCTTACTTCTGTTTCACTGTGAATTTAATGGGGCTCCTCTTATGTTGCTCCTGTTGTAGTTTTTAAGTGTTTCAATCAGTAGAGCTTTGGTTCTCTGCCCGAACCCGACTGGGCTCTGACACATCATCAGGCAGCTGTTGACGACCCGTCGCTAAGTATTGGTCGATCTAGTTTTTGTGGTGTGTCCAATACAGTTAGCACTAGTCGGCCTTGTTGGCTGCCGCTGATTTAGCATGTTCAATTCATTCAGACCAAAGATTTACGATGAGACGAGTTGAAACAGGCAGCTACTTGCAATGCGCCATTCTGCAAAGTTCTAAAAACCTGCCAGTTTACACCAATGCAACTAGATGAGACGGCGCATCATCTCTATGCAACAACTCTCTGTACTTCTGTTAGGATTTGCAGCTTTTCAGGTTTATTTTGTGGCTGAATATAATTTGTAGCTTCTTAAAATATGAATGAGGATAGTGATAGCGAGATACTGGCTACAGCTGCATTCGTAGTAGTGATGAAACGGCGAAACACAGAAACAAAACGAGCATCGGATGGACTGTATACATAATAAATATGCCACAATAATATAAGTAACCAGTGCACCGACTCACCATCCGACACTGGCACATGTGAGGACGGAAACAGAGGGCTAGGCAGGGACGAAGCACCTGCAGCAGCAAGCAAATACACAGCCTGGTCTTTTGACTTGACCAGCTGACTTCACTACAAGCTGATTGGTTTTTAAAAAAAGGCGACGTGCCTTACGTTCTAAACCAGCCCCCGGCGATTTGATCAGCTGAGTTGCAGGTGACACCATTAGCCTGCTTGAGTCGAGCTCAGACGGTCAGGTCACACCGCTGCAACTTTTCTCTGCAACATTCTAAAAACGGTTTCGTCTAGTCGCAAATCTTTGGTCTGAGTCTGAGTCTGGTCTTAAGGTTGTGTTGTTAACGTGCTAACTGGCTAACTAGCTTCTTGAATCCGTCTTGTCAGTATACTGGTTTCCCTTTTTGAATAACGAATACAGACTACAGTCACTTCCTCTCACAAAGGCGCAGAACATACTTGCTAGTTGGCCGTTGGCTTTGACTTTTCGGTGTGTTCAGACAAACTTTTTGGCCGAGTCACAGGCAACGTAATAATCGCCACTAGTTCTTTGATGTTGGTTGGATGTCTGGGCCGTTATCATCTGTGTAATGTCATGAATAATGTTTGGGATGTGTTGCCATTAATCCATGATAAATAATGAAAATGTTTAGGGTTAGATTACTAGGCGCATGTCGGAGATCGTGTTACCACGCTGAAAAGACTACTTGGCTTTGGCTTGTAATAAGTGTTTTAATTTGGGTTTTCAATCGAGCTCAGGCCCAAAACTGCTGCCGTGTTTCGAGCTCTGGTTAGACTTGGACAGATAGTATGTGTGTACATGTACGGTGGAGCCTGATTTTTCAGGCCTGATCAGAGCTCTAGCAGTCAGAGGCTGTCGGAGATTATAATAAGGAAATAGCTGAAACATATGGTCAAGAAAAATCCACGCTGACATCATCTCTCCACTCTGAATATCAACATTGTGAAATGTAACATGTATGTGACCTGTGACATGAGGTATCCTCGAAATCTGCGAGCCGTTCGTTCCCTGCAGCGAAAAACCACTTGACTTTACACTGTACAAATGTCAGGCGGTCTGTTCGCACACACATACAGACAATAATTTCACTGTGAGACACTCAAAGGGCTTCTGTTGGCCCTCTGACAGATGCACAGCTGCTGTTCTCCACCTCCAGGGAAAAGTTCATCACAGCAGAGCCGTGACATTTGAAGGTCAGTGAACCACCAGGCTGAAGAGAGAGTGTAGAAATCTGCTACGTTTTTACTGTTTTACATAATTTCCTCCATTTTTTTTGTATCTTATTCCACTTTTTTTCCCGGATGAGTCAAATCAAAGCGAAGGAGAATCAGTCTCTCGGAGTATAAACCTTTAAAGAGTTCTTTACAGATGTCTTTCTGCAGCTGGACTTGAGTCCATCAGTCTCTGCTGCCTCTCCTGGCCGGGATCTTGTGTGTGTAAATGGCTGCAGGTGTGTGTACATGTATGTGTGTTTACATCTGTGTGTGTGTTTTATTGTGTGTGGACATTCAGAACCCTGTAGCGTTGGCAGGTGTGTGTATATTGACTGGGGAGAGGCGGGTTCCTGATGCATGAGCGGTGAAGCTGTAAGCTGCATACGCCACAGCAGAGCCCACCATCAGGCCTGTCATATAGGAGACTGTCATGGTGTTCCCTGGAGAGACACAGAGAGCAGAGAATGAGTGTGGAGCTGATACAGAGAACAGAGAACAGAGGACAGGCTCATCCAGAGCTGATAGTATTTCTAAATAAAAGATACCTCAGGGACAGTGACATGTGAGCATAGACTGTTTAAAAGATGTGGATGTAGCCTCCGGGTTTAAAGGGTGAAGCCAATGTGAAGTGCCTGCATTCTTTCTAATGGCCAGCAGGGGGCGACTCCACTGGTTGCAAAAATAAATCTAATTGTGTAGAAGTCAATGAGATAATGACCCTACTCCTGACTAAAATTAGACTGCAAGAACATAATCTAAATGTTTCTTAAAGCCCCTACGCCAACCTTAATAAGCAGTCTTTCTCGTCATATATCTACTGAGGTGAATAACTCACCTGCCAGCTCCCTCTGCTCGGGCGGCACTTTGCCCGCAGCCTGGATCATCGGCACAGACCCGAAGTAGCCGTTGGTGACTCCCATGAGGAGGGAGAAGAGACAGGGCCAGGCGGGATGAGACAGGGTGGGCGCGTCGGCCGGGTACACACACATGACGAACAGAGGGATGAAGACCACCCTCAGACAGGAGAAGAAGAGCAGGCGGCCTCCGGACCAATCGTACGGCAGCGCTGCCAGGATCTGAGAAGAGAGCAGGGGTGTGTTTCAGTAATGCTGGGGGTGAAATTTTCTTCTGCTTTGTGGCAGAAATTTTGCAAAACCAGCACAAGTCTTAAAGTTAAAGGTGAAAGTTGAATAGTTCTGGAAGTCATGGCGTACGAGCTGCTCATGGCACTTGTTAGAGAGCACAATAAAGAAGTAGAAATTTTCCCCTCTCTATTCTTTGCTCTATTTTATCAAGACTTTTTTTTATTTTTACCTCTAAGCTACCTTAATTTCCCTTTCCCATTTTCATTTTAATTTGTCGTCTCCCTCCTTATCCTTTTTCTTTTTACCCCCGTTTGAACAAACTGCTAAATTTGCAGCGCAGACAAAGTCAAAGCGAACAATTAGAACATTTTTTCACTCAACTTTTTTCCCTTTCCAAGTCAAAATTATGACTTAAGGACACCAGATAAGCTTTTATTTCTGAATGTTCAGATGAAGCCTTTGAGCAAAGTGCTATTATTCAAAAATAAACCAGACTTTCTTCCATCCTTACTCTCAGGTTTAATAAATGGAGCGACTGCTTTCAATGATTTCACAAGGTCATCTCCAGTGTTACGGTGTGACTTTGTCTCTTTCCTGTTTCTGTATAATGTACAATTAAATCCCAGAATCTCAGGAGGTGTGAAATGATAGAGATAGCCAAGAGCTACATGGATTTAGAACATAAAAAATGAGGTTACAGTAACAAATTATTATTATTTCATTTACATGCATCTCTCTGTTGGTGATCGTTAATTTTATCCAGTGAAAGACTTTATAAAGTCAGTTCAACATGAGCACGATGGTGATTTTTAATAATAATGATGACTGGGGTTGACCTCCAGCTCACCTGGTAGAGTGTAAGTCCCACAATAGGCTAACTCCTCTGCAGCAACCTGGGTTTCATTCCAACCTGCGGGCCTTTGCTGCATGCCCTCAACATTAATGTCTCTTTCCAGAAATCCATGACTCGGTTACTCAAGATAATCACGTTTCATGTAGGAACTATTTTCTCTCTACCGAAGTACACCTGCCAACCAGATCACTGCACAAAAGGAAGCGTGCATCTACTCATGGAGGAGAGGCTCGTGACAGAGATGTAAAGACTAAGGTCCTGATCAGACAATGTGCATTTTACAACCTGAAAAAAAGGAAGTGCAGCTCATGGCCTTTTTTTGTTGAAGCCTACTCTGATCAGACAGAGCGCTTTTTGCAACCTGTTGTCTTTTTGTTTTGAATTGTTCACGTCCTAAGCTTAACCGCCATTTTACTGCGAAGCAAACTCGCAGATACCTTAAAATCTGCATTAGAAATGGACAGAGGGCGCCTGTTCTAGCTCTGAGGGTTAGAGTGTGTTTTCAGATATAACATTGGTCACAGGGAGACGGGTGTTTTCAGTTATTATAGCTGAAGTTTTATTAGGTCGAAGTTTGTTGGAACTATGCTGAAAATGATGTGAAGTCACTTCACTCCATGTGCTAATAAAGATGATAAAGGTGTAACTTGCCGTGCCCTGACAGGTGCAACAAACAACAGTCTGTACAATGTGTTCCTCACCTTGCCAACAAAGTCGGACATGTTGAAGGTGGCCATGATGAGGATGGGGAGCCACTCTCCTAACATGGGGTTTCGTATCTCTGACTCGAGTCCGGGGAAGAGACACAGAGTGATGCTGTAGGTTACTGCTATAGACAGCATGTAGGCCCAGATCACGCGGGACACCACGTAGCGATGCAAGATCATGTCTGGTTAGAGAACACACACACATACACACATGGTAAATTTTAAAACCCAAAGCTCTCACTTGAGCAGGTTAATTCACTGAGAACACTCCTGAATCACCAGGGGATGCATTTAAATTTCAAATCCGTCTGTTGAAGTCAGAGGGTAATTGAGCAGTGAGAACACGGGATTAAAACGGAGAGTACCGCGGACACCAGGCCAGCTCCTCCTTATCTTGGCTTTCGGGGCGTCGAATCGCACATAGGTCCCACCCTCAAAGTCCTCAATGCTATCCTCTGTAGTGGCTGGTGCTGTCCCACCATTTCCCTGAAGAAAGAAAGACACAGACACATACTTTGAATTTGCTAAAAGGAAACCTGTGTATTTTTCAGCTGGACCCTATTCTCCCATGTCTTTCTGTCTAAATGATTAATGGAGACGACACTTTTTGAAATTAGTCCAGTACTGACAAAGAGCGCTGTAGCCCGCAGCTGCCAAACAGGCTGCAGTGTAACCACTCAGGGCATGTTTGCACCATCATGTACGTCCACTAAAAGTGTCGGACAACATTTTGAAAGGATCCCTACAGAGAATGTCCTTTTTGTCAAAGAGTAAGATCCTTTTTGTTTAACAAGAAAACAACCAGAAACAAATCTCTATCACCAAACCCACCAGATTCTATTTAAATAAACAGTTTTTTTTTAGCAGCATTCAAAGTCAACAGAAACAAATTAAAACTCACAAAAAACATCTTGTTTCAGCAAACCACTGTTCCAACAATCACCAACTCTGGTTTAGTTAAAATAAACCCTAAATTTATCCAGTTAGATGTGAAAACATGCTGCCTCTATACATGCTAAAATTTTTTAAATGGAGTGTGGTAGGTTTGGTGATGGCAATTTAAGGGCTGTTTCTGGTTTAACAAAAAGGATCTTACGTTATAACAAAAAGGTTTATCTCTGTAGGGATCCTTCCATAATGTTGTCAGACACTTAGAATAATAATTTGAGCTGGTCAGTGGCAAAAACAAGCACTTTTAGAGGACATACATTGACAGTGTGAACAGGCAATGAGTAGTTGCAGCCTCTTTTGTGACTGTCTCCCTCAGTACTGGACCAATTTCAAAAACCGTCTCCATTAGTGACTTTTTTACCCTTTTTTGACAGTCACTGGCTGGCTTGGCTTGGCTTGGCTTGGCTTGGCCTGACGTGGTTTGTGCCGTCAGCCCAGCACTGCAGGAATTTGCATTTCCATTACAACAGCGCTACCCACTTGAAGGTGTGTCCTTAACTGGTGACGGCTTGTCTTGGCTGATGACGTCTAAAAGCAGTGAGCAAATCGACGGCACGTGTTTTTCAATGACACAGCAGGCTACCCGCTTGAGGGCGGGCGGCCTGACTTTTGGATCTACTCCTGAGTAAGTCCATCTCTGGCTTGGCTTGGTGTGGCCAAGAGTGACAATGGAAAAAGGGTATAAGACAAAAACATGGGAAAATAGGGTCCAGGTTGGAAAAACACCAAAGTTTCTCCTCATAAAACAAACACATGACAAACAGGAAATTCATCACTGACATTACATCAGCCTTTCACTTTTAAATCTGAATGTTTCAAATCATAAAAAACACATGACCTATCAGAAACGTCATCATTTTGTTACTTGTTTCCTGAGACCAATTTCAAGGCCTTCTGAAGGACGTTAACAGTTCATTAAGAAAACACTAGAGGTAGCCATCACACAGTAAATAAACATATTCTCTTGCAGTGGTGTTGAACTTTAGCTGCTCAGCTTTTTTCATTAAGAATGGCTTCCCGGCTGCATGACATCAGCACTTCATGGCAGCGGCTATTAAAGATGATCACTGTGAGTGGCTGCAGGTTGATGTAATGATGTTGGAGAGGCTGCAGACTGGACTGCAAATAAGCTCCCGAGCCACACACACACACACAAACGCACACACAATCTTGTGCTTACATCTTTGTGAGGACCCTCATCGACATAATGCATTCCCTCGCCCTTTACCCCAACTTTAACCATCACAACTGAATGCCTAACCTTACCCTTACCCCATCCTAAGCCTATCTAAACCTGGGCCTTAAAACCTGGTCTTATCCCTTGAAGAAGCGAGGACCCACCGAAATGTCCTCACTTTCCAAAAATGTCCTCACTCTGAAAAAACGTTTTTATGGTCCTCACTCTGTAGCAAGTACATGTTCGCACATAATCAAGCCTACAAACATAAATGTCATCCTTCATACTTCATTGGAACACACAGGCGCATCCTTCTGCTTATGCACGCACGTACACACACACACACACACACACACACACACACACACACACACACAGACACAGACACACACACCGATCCATTAGTTGATTAGAGGGACTTGCGGGCCAGAAGGCACCACTCTTCTTGATTATCCCTTCATACAGAGCGCTCCGTTTCCCCCGGCAACCAGAACAAAGAGCTGCCTGAATCAGCCCCCAGACGCAGAACACGACACACACACACACACCACACCAGCACACACACACATTACTGTCAAACGCAGGGGGAGGGGGGTGCCTCACACACTTGTCTTGAGTGTAATGGCGTACAAACACAAACACGCACACATGAAAAGATGACAGCCCGAGGTGATATGTCTTCCTTTGAAGGCTCTGAACACACACTCGCTGTGTGACGAGGAATATTAGCTCCATGTCTTCAGGCTACAAAGTGGTGCTGCGAGCGTGAATACAGAGTGGATTTACCTCCTTGTCTGTCACGTCTTTCTCTCGCTGTCATGACTGGTCTCCTGCTCTCTGCCCTCTTTTTTTGTTTTTCACATGTGTTTTCCCCCCCTCCGTCTCTCCTCCGTGCTTCAGCAGTTTTCTCCACACCGCCCTCCACCAAAAAACGGCCTTACAGTTTTTCTGTACAAGCAGCTTATATTTACGTTTATTGTTAGGCGATGACCCTCTAGTGACCGTAGTAATTATGACGGGAGCAAAGGAGGAAGCCCTAGTATAGACTGTAGCATCCAAGTAGAAACCCACTGCGTCATGCACATGAAATGAAAGAGTGCTCAGCAAACTCTGCCTTGGTTAGTTTTCAGCCACCTTAAACAAGGCCTGCCTAAAAGGATCAATATTAGTTCAAGTGTACACTATATTTAGAATATATTACCACTTTACCTTACTGTCAGACGGCCCCTTCTGACAAGGAACTAAAGCTGTTATCTCAAAGCCACCAGACTCTATGGACAAAAACAGTGATTTTACTTCGCAGAACACAGGAGTCTCTGGTCTACCACTGCCTCCAGTACTTGTAAGATAAAGCGATGCAAATACTCCAAATATACCATACACTTAAAGGGCCAGTGTGTAAAATGGGTTGAAAACAGTGACATCAGTGGTCAAATTCTAGATTGCAGGGCTCACTCGCTCGTCACCTCCCGTCGGGTAAATGACGGTGGCCTCGTAGGGACAAAAAGCCTTGCGCAGACACGAGTTTTTCAGGAGTAGGTCTATCTAGCAACAAGGTGAATGTTTATTTAGAAATCTAAGCCATGTTACGATATTGTAATGAATCCCTCATGAGCAGGAGACCAGAGTAGCGTTCGGGAAAAAGGCCAGTTTATTTGAGTACTCCAAAAACTCCGGTAACACTCCAGGGGGTAAAAGACTCCGTCCCAAACTCTGACTCTTCTAGCGTAACACACACACTTCATACACACATACTCGTTTACAATACCTAGTGGGGACCCCCCTCCCCTCTCTGCTCCACCAATCTCCAGCCCGCACACTGACTGACAGCGTAGCCGGTAAACAGAGCTCAGCTGTTTATTTAGCCTAGCAATATCTCCGGACTATAGTAGCTGCAATGGACGACTTTGAACGCGATTTTGAAGAGTTTCTTGTAGCGGACACAGACCCAGAGCCATACCTGTTTGAGCCGGAGCATACAGATGAGGAACTCCATGTGTTTGATGCTGAGCGGGCGAGAAGAGAGGCTGAATGCACAGAATGGGATTCGGTGCTACTGCTACCATCGTTGGGGAGATATATCATCAGGAGGAAAAGCGCCGCAGAGAGTGCATCACAAGGAGTGAAGTTGCGTCTTCTTTTCCTCGCAGATGACGGTTCGGGTTCATTCTCTCCTGTTGCGTGGTAAGTGTGGTCCATTCGCAAACTTTATAACTAAAAAAACTTTTCACTACTCTCTATCGACGAACTACTAACACTCTCTGCTGTTTCCTCCTCCTTCTTCCTTCCTTCCGCTGTCTTCGTTGGTTCATTTATACACGCGAAACGCGTTCTCTGGCTGGCTGGATTGTCCGCTCGGGCTGCCTTACATACATGGCGGCACAAGATGGCGACCTCTCTAAAGCAAGGCCCTTGCTATATATATATATATATATATATATATAAAAGCGTAATTATAAGGCTACGAAAACCAAACAAATTTTATTTATAGCGATTATACACTTGTATAAACATATTAATGGGTAGAATATTCAGATTCAGATTCAGATTCAGATTTGACAATAAACCATGCCAAATATTACACACTGGCCCTTTAAACTGATATTGATAATTTCAGGTGGCTAAAATTCATTGTGCTGAGGCCCTGTCTGCGGCAGTTTAGCTTCTGTGCTGGTAGATTTGATTTATCAAAGATGCTAGCAAAGCAATAAAGTACATAAAATAAGCACAGCAGAAACGTCAGATTGGTCGGACCACAATGTTTAACTATATACCTAAATTAGGGCTATCAATTAAATTAGTTACATGCTCTGTGATTAATTCATCTAAATTAATTGCATACATAATTTCTGCTGTGAAAATATTTAGATAATTTCAATTCAAATGAATTTTGGCAGATGTGTCGTAATAAAGCTGCTGGATTTTGGACACAGTTGTCCCCCTGTCCTCTATCACCAAAACTGGTCTGCAATCCATTTTGCAAGGGAGTGAGTGAGTCAGTCACAGGTCGACTTACTCAGTTTGCGCCTGAACGCCCTGAGTTTGGCTTGACGAGGCTGGCTGCTAGCGCTGTCATCAGAGGGAGCAACTGCTGAGTCAACTGCGACACCTAGTGGTTAATTTGGTATACCTGTCCTGTCCTTAATATTAAACCTGTTTGAAAATTTTACACTGCAACTGCAACTGTTTGACAACATTAACCACTATTAGTTAGCAGCCTCCAACTAAGAATATTACTAGTCGACCAATAGTTGTCATTTAGGGCCATTAGTCGACTAGTCACCCGCATGTTTACGATATTAATGTAATGATTAAGTTATATATTTTGGGCGGGGCAACACAATGGTTTGAGTTGAAGGTGTGAGAAAGAATAGTATCAGTAACATTGTTAACACTGTGCTACATTACAGAGAAATACAAAACCGTACTAATGAACCTTCATTAATATAGGCCTATATTTTATCTCCAAGTGCACGTCACACACTGAGCGAGCCGCCTGTTAATGACGCTGTGGGCTAATGGGCATGTAGCTACTTCCATGTTTCAGATGATACGTCACGTTTGTAGTCGACCAATGAAGATGAGTTTACATATCACCTTGGGTTCGTCCTTCACCTTCTCAAAATGATCCCACACTTTGGATTTCCTGCCCGACATGTTATTAACTAGCCTGTGGAATAACCGCAGGTACCAGCCCTGGAAATTAACCTGACTCCTGTCTGACTGCTGAGCGTGGACACTTCCTGTGTCTGTCCTTTCAAATTAAAGTCCCCACATGGTCCAGTCATATAGGTTTGGATTTATTTTGACAAGGCGCACTGAGACTAAGTGACCAATGAAATCTTGCTGACTAATGGCATGTGGTCGACTATCAGGGGGCAGCCCTACATATATGTCACTGGCAAACGACCTGTTCTGTCATTTAGGTACAAGGACGTGTTGGTTTTCTCCCAGCCTTTTTTCCTGTGTCGTGACTCTCATTTTTGCTCTATCCGCAGGAGGCCTCGACTTCTCCCTTTTTCTCTAAAACTCCATCTGTCTTCATCTTTTTTTTCTGCATCACCCCGCACCACTCTCATCCCTAATAACCCCTCCCAAAATCCCTTTCTCTTTCTCTCTCAACATTTCCCTTTCTGACTGGCAGCCAAAAACCAGCACGCAGCTTAAATAAATGATACTGCATTTTTAAAACCTACACAGCCCTCGATCCCTGCGTGCAAGACACACTCACTCCTCGCAGAAATCAACAAGGAAATGGGGGTTGCATGAGACCACAGTTTAGAGGGCTGACATTTCCTCCCTGTCTTGGTTTAGGAACAGTTTGTCGTTGCAACATTTATGAAGGATTAAATGAATGAAACATGTAGAAGCTTTAATCAGAGATTCTCAGTCAAAGTTGAGAGATTTCACTAAAAATCACGAATGAGAGCATCATGGTGACACCAGAGGAAAAGTCAGGATCATGAAAGTCAGTAGGATTCATCCTCTGGGGACCATGAACGTGGCCACACAAATTCATAGCAACCCATCCAATAGTTGTTGCGATATTTGACTGAGCTGACGGCAAACAGACCAAAATCGCCACCCACAGAGCCATGCGACTATCATGACTGTATGCATGCACAACATCAACATGCACATGCACACGGTATAGCCAATAAACTCTCCACAAACTTACAAATCTTACTTCCTCTGCCGTGACATCATGGTGAACTCTGTATCCGGTCCCGTTGTCGCGCGGGTCGTGACCTCTGCCTTGACCTTTGCCCTGGGCGTGATTGGTGTAGTAGTGGACAAATTGGGAGCGGCGGACCAGCAGGTGAAGCAGGAAGCAGAGCATCTCCATGCTGATGGAGACGAGGAAGAAGATGAGCGTGTTCCTCCTCTCGTCTGGGATCAGCAGCTTGGTGAAGATGCGAGACAGGGAGATGATCACACCTGCTGTACCTGAGAGGAAGTACCAAGAGAACAGGAAGCAGGTGAAGGAGATGATAGCAGGGAACGGGATATGTGTGCACAATTCTTTGAATGTGTGTGCGCACTTACTCTCTCCAGTCATCACCCCCTGCGTGTACCTCTTGGGCAGCATCCCCATGTAACCATAGAAACTGGACTGCTGCACTGGGGAGGGAAGAGGAAGTGTTTATCAGTGCAAACAGTCTGTAACACTCTGTAACAACACAATTTATTTAAAGGCACAACTTCCTGGACCTTCGAGCGTCACTTGGGAGAAGCCTCTCTGACCTCGGGACCTCAGCTAATTAAACTGTTACTACTGTTGGCTGAAAGGCTGAAGGCTCTGTGTTCACACTCACAGCGACTACGAGGAAACTGGCTCAGTGTATGAAAGTCATTAGCAGCAGCTGAAGACTGTTGCTTGATCATTTGACAGCTATGATTGAGCACCACAGTTTTGCATTGCTCTGTATTTGAGATTTTTCCACTGGATTTTGGATCATTGCAGAAAATCAGCTCTGTGGCAAACAAGAGTTTATTATACATACATATTTTGTTCAGCAGGATAATCTTCATAAATGAACACCACTTTTATGATCTTCGAAGTGTAAATGCAATCGCCAGAAGTAAAAAGCTCAAGTTAGGCTATAAACAAACTCCACCATGGCTGCATGACTTACAGATGCCCTCACAGGACAGCTTTAAAGTTGTGTTCTGGTTGATGATGCTCTGTAGTCTAATTTAGCCTCTTGTTAGTAGTTGCCTTTTTTAAGACACATAACATTCACATGTATGTACTGACCAGTGGTGGCTGCTGGTCTTTCAGACTCACTTTAAGTTTACATCATAAAATCTGTCATAATTGTAGTGAGGCAGTAACTTAAAAAAGGAACATTTAATTGAAGCAGTTTTTCAACCACACGCATGCCATAGAACCACAGCAAAACACACCTCAAAGATTTTCAGATGGGTTTAAACACCTGAACTGTGTCTACACCACCAGAACTGATTTTCTCTCAAAATAAGTTTCCCTGAAAGGAGCAGCACATTAACACCGGCCCAGGTAACAAACAGTCTTATATAGCAACATTCTCTGGACATTCTCAAATATAACTGAAACACACATTTATTATATGAATTCTGCCCTCCACTCCTTTTGCAGAAAATGGTCTGTGACCCTGTCATACCAACTGCACGCACACAACACAACTATAGCTTTGTGATTCAACGAACAAACGAACTAACTAAAGACACTAAACAGGGTACAAACTCAATAACGCAACGTTTATGTCTTTATTTTCAGTGTGTGTTGTGTGTGTACTGTACAAACGGTGAAAATGAGCTATATCGCTTATGGAAATAAGGAACTCTGCACGGCACTCTGTCAGAAGACTCCACTCGCCGATGCCGGTGTGTATTTCCAAAGCGCTGCCAGTCACGTTCAGCCTTTTAGACAGCTCCTCCTATCATCATGCAGACACCGAGCATCCTCTCCCGCCTACCGCTCCATTAGGTCCCAGGGAAGCTGAGCCTCCCAGGAAGTGACAATGTTGTCGCATTCATCCAATGACCGTCTCGCTTTGCTGCATGAAAAAAACCTGCTCAGCGCTGTCTCATAGGAATGCTTGCAGGCTCCACCACACTGACATGAGAATGTAACACAGGGAGGTTATGTTTGAAAACTGGTGATAAACAGCTGACGTTTGAACATCATAGTCGTGATGTTAAATGCATCCTAGCGCACGTTTAATGCAATGTAAATTCTTATTTTAATGTAAATTCAATAGTGCATATTTGACCATTTCTTCTATGAAATTTTAGGGGAAGTTCAGCCTCCCTTGTTGTCTCAGAGCAATCGCCCCTGGTACTGACGTATTTTATGCTAGAGAACAAAATGTGAAAATTTCCTAAACTTGTGTTAACATCAGACCTTATTTCAGGCATCAAACCAAGAACCCAGTAAAAAAAAAAAAAAAACACTGACTTCGGGAGGAGGGAACCAGGAGGGTTAAAATGCAAACTCATTTCCAGGTTTTGGGACTCATTCCTGCACCACTCAATGGCAAAGGAATCTAGTGCCTATTTTTAGCGGGTTTTCACATGTTTAAAAAACTGCATATATGCACTAATTTTGGTGGGGGAAAAAAAGATGTATAAAATGGGAACAATAAAGCATAAATATAACCTCTGTCTTGTCAAAGTAAGCTGAGCAGCAAAACAAAGTTACAGTATGTTAGAATGAAATAAGGGTCTGATCTCTCTTTCTTATCATACTTATAACATTGGGATGAAATAACTTTTAGTACTTTTTAGTACATATATTTAGTACTTTTAGTACGATGCACTCAAATAGCAGCCATAGTCTGCATACTGCTACTGTTTCAGTGACATGTCCACGGTGTGTTAAACTCATTGTGTCTGTCATTTATTTTCTGCTTATAGCAAAAGATGCAGCGGCAACACAAGGAATAAAGCGTAAATGCAACCACCAGAGGGAAAAGCTAAACTACACCACAGTTGTATGGCTTCAACGTCACCACCACAACAAGGCTGCAAAGCCATGTTTTGTTTGGTGTGATGATGTTCTGTAGCCTCATTTAGCCACTTGTTTGTAACCGCCTTTTTTAAGACACAGAAAAGCTTCACAATTTCATGGGTGCTGCTAGGTGAGCTAGCAGTAGATGCACGCTTCCTTCTGCACTGTGACACAGTCGGCAGATGTAGAAAAAAATAGTTCCTACATGAAACTGCTCACAACAAGGTCGGTGGATTATCTTGAGTAACCAGGTCATGATTTCTGCAGAGAGACAGTGATGTTGAGTTTTTCAAACATATATTTTTGGCGCTTTGAGCACCACAAGCTGAGAATCATCTAGCTCCATTATATTGGAAAGAAGGCAGACAACTGTACGGCTGATATCGCCAACACTCAGCAACTCCCATTGAAACAATCTCCATTAATAAATAGCACTACAGGTGAGATGTATTTTTGATTTGGGGTGAACTGAATCCTTCTTTCTTCTTAACCAATGAAGGAAGCAAAGATGATTATTATTAGTACCTGTACATCCGAAGGCCACCACTCCAACTGACACCAGGTTGATGATATAAGCCTGCCTGGTGGTGAACTTGCCCAGCCACACATCAAACACACTGACAAAGACCAGCGGCCCGAGAGCTAAGATGTAACCTGCAGAGAAAGAGACAGTCAGACAGACGGACAAGTGAGGAGAAGCCACTGAAGCAGGTCACGCTGCGATCGCATGACTGAGCACACATTTGACAGGGCAGACGCTCGAGCCGTATCGCTTCCATCTGAAGTCCGATCCCCAGTTTATTAACTCTAGGGACGAGCTCTTCGGCAGACAACACACTTCAAAAGACATTTCCTCAAGGATGCAAGCAGAGCTATTTTAAGCTACAGAGGGTACGGTGGTGAAACCACGCTCTTACATGTGCCGCATGTGTAATGATTTGAAAATTCTCCTAAGGGGGACATACATTTTTAAAGAACATTTTTTCATATGGAGTAGGCTGAACAGCTTTAATATTTGCAAAGACGTGTAACAGCATTAAAACCCAGCATTTCAATTTAGAATTTGGGGCCACATTTACATCTCTAAAGTATCAGGCTTCAGTCTTTAACCTGCTTCATGAATGTGCAGGCTTGTATCTGACTGGATACTTTTAACAGCATAGTGGTTTTGCTTTAAAAATGTTTTGAACAAACCGAAGATGATGCAAGATTTTGAAGTGATGCAAAGAAAAACAAAACAGTAAAATACCCACATTCTTTAAAGACAGACCCTCGTGAGTTTGAACATTTTTTTACACATTTTAAGAATAAAATCCACAGGAAAATTACAACAGAGTGTATTTTTCTCTTTCTCTTTATACCGTCTTCCCCATTTCTGCTCTGCGTACTCGGCTCTGATAAGCTTTGAGCTTCCCAGAGGGTCATTAATAAATGAGTAACAGCAGAAGTTCCCACAATCAGAAATTTTTCACACTTAAAGCTCTGTCTGTGAGCGGGCTCCTGTGTGACTTACCCACAGTGATTCTGGTGTGCATGCTGAGTCTCTCCACCAGCACGTTGTTGAGGATGACGGCCAGCAGAGCCACCAGGATGTACGTCAGACTCATGTCGAACACTATGGACGTCCCTGCAACACACACAAACACTCACATGACTCCTGGGACTTTGATATGATTATCTTTTCTCCAGGGGACACATGCATAAACAATGTGTACACACAAAAACCATGTATACACCTTTACCCGCACATAAACTGGTATTTATAAAGGGAGACCAGACCAGACACACACATAGTTTTAGCTGAGACAGCTGCTGATGAAATGATAAAGAGGAGATTAAATACAAGTTGAGAGACTGGTAACCTTGTTTCAGGTTGTTTGCCAATTTCACAGATTATTTTTGCAGGCTGTACAGCTCTCTGTAAAATGTCAATCAAAGGCACATTTAGAAACTTGATTTTAAATTATTTATGAGTGATGAACCCATCTTTATCTTAATTGACATTCTGCCTGTAAGTGTTGAATTTGATCCTGTTAAGCACTTTGTTAACTTAACTGGCACTGGACGTCAGGATGACATCAGAAAGATGGCAGACAAGAGTTCAATTTTAGTTGGAATGAAAATCAGGTTGAAGATATTTCACTACATTAGAGATTCACATTGTGTTTATAACCTTTTTTAGATGTTAGGTTTTGTTCTCTGTACTGTATGACCAAATGTCTCCATCAAGAGGACATTGGCATGAGATGTTTGGAAGACTTTGGATTTTGGTTACTTAACAACACAACTTAAAACCAGCAAAACATCAGCGTCACCTGTCGTCAGTATTCTATGTCAAATTGATGTTGGCATTAGACGTTGTCCTGATAATGAATTTTGCACATCCAATGTCACAACTTTAATTCAACCAAATGGCAACGTCTAACAATGCTGGTGACCAGCTGGGAAGTCTGTTTGAACAGAAGCGCTATGAATGAATCATTGAACATCCTTCTGACGTTCAGTAATAATAATTGACATGTTACGGTTTGCAGAAATGTGATGAGTTAGTGGTACAGACGCTACAAATATCAATAGCCGTGCATAATGACAGCTGCTCTGGCACTGTTGGTGAACTGTGCAGATGCAACACAGGGAAATTGCACTTTCTTTTGTGTATTTCTCATTGACTGGTCTAATGAGTGATGGAGGTTTCCTGATGTCAGACGGATCTGTCAGCTCATTACGCTGTGTTTCTATTTTCAGTCTGACATGGCGTCCACTCTAACCAATTTCAATGGGAGTGGGGGATGAAATTTTCCCCAACCACTTTGCTCGTCTAAAACCCTTGGGGGAAAAAATTGACTTTCATGGTCCTGGTAGGGAAGGGGCTGCGAAGTGGTAGACCTTGAACTGCTTTCTGAAATTCAAAAAATGGTACGGCCTCTGGGGTGCTGGTACTCTTACTCTGACCCACAGAGGGCCGTCCCCAGCTGACTTGCACCAGAAAGGGGGGATGCAGTCAACCTCCCACTGCTTTGCTCCTTCTCTGGACCAAAAACCCAGGCAGTCAGTCCTTAATGCCCCTTTAATTCCATCAGAGACCCAAGTATATGCCTGAACCACACATGATGCTCAGCCATGCCAACATATCTGTTTTGCTCAGGTGTTAAGAGTGGACTGAACCGAAGTAAAACAAAGTTCGATATCGGGTGATATTGAGAAGACACGTCGATTTAGAAAAACCTTGATAGCGGCATCTATTCTGTCTTTAGCGCTTGGCATTGTTGTTTTTACTCCTCATTCGTTCTGGTTGTATTTTATTTTAACCGAAAAACCATTGTTTTATGTCAGAGTGCCAGACGGATTAGTCGGCGGGGAGAGGTGATTAGAAGGTCTGGACCAAGGAAATGGTGGAGGGGCACAAGTATCGATATGCAAACGCAGGTTTAAAGGTGTTCCTCCATCCATTTATGGCAAACTGTGGGAGCGGAAATGAGGCTTGGGCATGTGCACCCAGTGGTACAATAATCTAGATTCATAAAACAGAGTCAGGTGTAGGCACAGCTTTATAAACCTGACAGAAAGAATGTGTATGCATATAGTTTTGGTCATGAATCCACACAGAGTTTTATGCATCTGGCCCCTGGGGAGTCTGTAAAATTCATGCATTCTCTGTAGGTGCAGTTCATGCATATTTATACCTTCAAACTTGTGGTGCAGGTAGTCCACATCAGTGATGAAACTGTTGTAGGGAAGCAGGAAACCCACGCCAGCCAATAGCATTGCAAAGTAGATGCCATGGTAACGGTCGTCAGGGATCGGCTCCTCAAAGTCTGAGCGGGAAGGAAGGAGTCAAGTGTTAGAGAATTAAAAGAGTATGAAATCACACTCCAACAGCAGGGATAAAAATGACTTCAAAACATCTGAATTAGGTCTCGAGCCAACGCACTCGATCTTCATTAAAGCTAATCAGGATGAATGAAGCCGCGGCAGCAGCAGTAACGCCTCCGCTCCACTGATGGAGCAGCTAATGCAGCAGAGGACCTCGATCCTCCAGTGCTGCTGAGAGATTGATCAGAGGAAGTGCTGATCATGGACGAGCTGCCGAGTAGTTTCAGCTAAGAACTGGACTTCTGTGTTTTGCAGCTGATTCAGTTTCATGGTTAAAGTGTGATGTGCAGGTTCTTTATATAACTGCTCATAATCCCTTCCTAATCCTGTGAGCCTCCTATTAACTGCTCCAAACCCTTTCTGAGCATTTGCATTTTACAGCTCACTACAGGGGGTAAAAACATGAATCTGAGACTATTTATTTCCCTTCTTATTTTTTATGTAACTTGTTATTATGACATCTAGGACCTGCATTTAGCTCCTCGGTGATCTACATTATTTTCTCAGAAATAAATGCCTGTGTCAGTAACTATAGGCAATTCAAAGTAAACGGCTTCTGGAAGCTTTTCCATTTCTGCTGCTCTGTTGGGTTTGTCATTTCTGGGGTAAAATAAAACCCCTTGCATCAACTGTGCAGTTTGAAAGAGCAGTGAGCATCACCATGACTGCACAGACAGAAGAAAAGATCCCCGCCTGCAGAAACTCAAACCTCATTAACAGAAAATCCAATGAAGAAGACACCGCAGCACTGCCCACACTGTGTGACTGACATTTCAGTGGAAGTCTTTTATGGCAGATTTACCCTTTCCAACATTCATATTTAGGCATTGTATGAAAACGATTTAAGTGGTGAAGGACGGACTTTTTAAAAAAAACAATATCCTCTCTCTTTGAGCTCTAAGAAAAAATAGCAGCACCCAACACAATAGTATAGATGCCTTTACAGTTAAGCCTGATTTATGGTCCTGCGGCGTACCTACGACGTACCTACGTCGTTGCCGTGACGCTGTCATGAACCCTTCAAACTTCTCCGTCACTCCATTTCATCGCGGTGCAATTCACCGCCAGAGCGGTAGGAGGCTGCGTTCCTTTCCTGAATGGTTATCGTCGTCTCTAGTTGATTCTTTGTTTAGCTTCTGGCTTTTCCGGTCACAGAGAAATGAACGCGGAGCACGGACAGACGGCTCCATCCGTATCCGTGTCCGTATTGAACGTTGAGCATAAATGGGCCTTAATACTGCAACATCTACATCGCAGCAGAAGATGTTTAAAGATGGCGGGGGAAAGAAATACGGAACCGGAAATGCGTTGCTACCAAGCAAACCAATCACAGCCCTCTCGGTCTGCGCTGGGTATGCGTTGCCTCAACGTGTTTTCTTTTTTTTTTTTTTAAAGATTATTTTTTGGGGCTTTTTGCCTTTAATGAACAGGACAGAGTGAAATGGGGTGAGAGAGAGAGAGAGTGGGGGTTGACATACAGCAAAGGGTTGCAAGCCGGAGTCGAACTTGCGACCGCTGCAACGAGGCATCGCCTCTATACATGGGGCGCCGGCAGTATCCATTACGCTACCGACACTCCTGTGTTGTTACATTTTTGGGGAGGTGCACGTCAGGCTATGCCAGGGGCTACGGCGAGCCTTCTGCGTAGCCACGTACCCTACGACGTAGCAACGTCGTTGATTTAACACAGGACCATAAATCAGGCTTTAGTAAACAGTATGACAGTTTTGGTGGGCGGGGCTTAGCTGGAGGCAAAACAATTCTCCACAAACCTTAGATAGCGCTTAGCTAGCATGTTCTGTTGGCTTGTTTTATACAATGGAGGAAAATGATGCGAATGCACTCTGGCACAAACTGGACCATTTGTAAATTCAGAGCGCTGTCTGAATTTACTGTTCAGTTATTCAGAGCACCACACTCAGAGAGTGGCAGCGCGCACTCTGGGCACTCTGTGGAGACGGAGCATCAGAGTGCAGAGCAGAGTGAATGTGTGATTAACTTAACCGTTAATTCATGTAAAAATATAACGCTCTGTTTCTTCGACCAACAGGGCTCTCATTTTAGTGTAGAGCGTCAGACTGAATTTACGATCGCACCATGTCAGGTCACTCACTCTCCGGGACCGTCAGTGTTATTTGAATAAGTAAACACTGAAGCTAACGTTCGCTAATGTGCTAAAAAGTTAGCGTTCCAGAGAAATCCAATATTCCTCTTAATCCCTCCCCAGTTTCTGATGAGGTGGACATGATAACCCTTAATACACATAAAGTTATTCCTCCATCCAACAGGAAATACTTTTTCCCTAACCTGATATGAAGTGTGCGCTGCACATGTGAGCATTTTTGATGTTCGCCTCTCGTCCAGTCCTTTGGTCTTATCACATTTAACCATAATTGTCTTCATTTTTGTTGACGGGCAGTGGCGGCTGGTTTTGAGCCATGACTCCTTCTATTCTGGCTCCCAATAACACAACAAAACAAACACATTTTAAGACTCCTATGTAGCCTACAGCCCTGTGGTTCAGAGGCAGGTTTTGCCTTCAGCTAAAAAGGGTCTATTTCAACCCTAATATCTAAAACTTCTAATTTGCAGCACCAACTTACACATGAATAAAACCCTGACACAGAGACAGAACTGTTGTCCTCGGCATATGAAACATGCTGCCTTTTTCTAACTGTTTATGTAACTATAACACAAAGGAAGGCTGAAATAAAATATAAATAATAAAATACCCTCTCCTGCTCTTGCTTCAGCCAAAAGAAAAATTACACCACCCTCCCGTTTTCTGACCCCTTCTCACCCCCTGATAACTTTCCTACAGTTCCTTAGTAGAACCACAGATTGTAGAGTAGGTGCAGGACTGTGATGACAGGCTAAAATTAATTCAGTCTTTGAGTCTTTTCCAAACCTCTCTCTATTTTTCTCTTTAAGGGAAAAGGCAGACTGCTTACTCTTTTATTCTGCTGGCTGTACACTGGCTGAGATATGGAGACTGACAGCTGCAGGAGAAAGAGAGAGAAGAGAGAGTGGTTGCTGATAATCTCAGCCCCTCGCTGTGTATCCTTGGTCATTTGTGATCTGATTAATGTGCCCTTTATGCAACCTGAGTAACCAGGCAACACAGCAATTTTCTGTTAACAGACGTGCATCCTGTTTTGACAAACACTTTTTTTTACACTGTACTCTGTCTGTGTCACTGCTTTTATTCCCTCATCCTGCACAATCATCTACAAAACACAAGCACACACACATTTTACATTCAGTTCAGTCTTACAGAACACAAAGATAAAAAAATATGCCAACAAGGTGACTTGTTCTCAGCGCAGTTTGGAGTATTTTTAAAAGGGAGCTGAAATTTAAATTCTCCTCACTTTTAATGTGAGGTTTTATAATGATGCTGCAGCTGTTGTGCATAATTTCTCATCAGAGGATAAAACCTTTCTTGGAGGTATTTGTGGAAACAGTGGCTTCAAACCTCCGGGTGGCTGACTGACATTTGAGCGTGGGTGTTGCTTGGAGACGCACTGACAACGACAAGATGTTTTTTCTCCTTCTTCAACAAACACACAGAGCGTCATTTATGTGTCATGTTGTTTGTTCATTAGCCAACCCTGTCTATTCAAGATGAGCTAGCTAGGCTAACACACGTAACTTCAACACCTGTTGAGTCATTGGCAGCTCCTGCACTGTGTTCATTGTGCATTATACAAAAGATGGGGGGTTAGCTAGTATTGGCTATCTCTTTTTTATGGGTACAAAATAAGTGGCAATGTCTGGGGCTGAAAAATTAAGCTAAAAACTGTAGTTCCTCTAATGACTACTTAAAGCTGGCTCCAGAAGCCAGTCAGTCCTAATAAACCTCCATGTTTACAGCAGAAATAAACATGTTTACAGTCTGGCACCTCTGTCAATAAAAGTGTGCTCAACTTCCCCATAGATTTACTTCATGAAAGAAACATCTGTAAATCATTGGATATTTTTTTTACAGTCACAAACCCCAAGAAATGATTCGTTTCACTATCAGGATTTGATCGATTCAGTTCGATGACATTTCAGAAGTTTAGAAGAGACGCAAGATTAAATCTTTTTATCCACATTGAAGTTAGGGCGTAACCAGAAGGTAGCCACTTGGCCACCAAAGTCTGTAGTGTGCTTGCTTTGTGGGTCCAATCCAATTTTAATTTCATTGACGAAAACTATGGTGGAAACGACTTTTCTTCCATGACAAAAATGAGACAATGATGAGCTAATAATAGATCTTGATAATAAAAACAAAGTGCAAATCTGTTTAATTTTCGTTAACGAGACAAGACATGGTGGACTATCGGACACTGAAAGCCGAGAACAGCCGTGCTTGCAGTTATCTTCAAATGCCGCAGGAGTGACAGGCTGGTTAACTCCAGTAAATAGTCTGCACCAGGATGTTTCAGTAGCCAGCAAAAACACTCACACCAGATCAGTGCCAGCTGTTGGTGTGAGTTGTGAGCTGTAGTTTAGCAGTAAATAATCAGCCGTGTGTGTCTGACTGTGGATGGTGGAGCTGCTGAATGGTTTTGTGGAGTTTGCTAGTTGCAGTGGTGGCTGTTAGCAGCTAGCTCTGCTTGTTCGCCACTGAATGGCAGTGGAGCAAGCAGCCACTGGCCGCCAGGCAGCTGATCTCTGCAGGACTCCACTCAGTCTGGGCTGTCTTAGGATGGTTTATGGTTTGATGGTGTTTGACAGGCAGGTAGGAGGTTCAGTTATCTGTGAGTGTAGCTGTGCTGTAAGTTAACAGTCTGAACTCAGATAAGTTTTCTCTGACAAAGTTTTTGAGAGCATAAATAGAGAGACGTTGAGCTTTTCAAATGACGATGAGTAAGTGTGTGCTCGTAAATCAACTCTTAAACCTGTCAAACACTGCTGGAGAAATGGCAGTTTGGAAGTGTACATAAATTATTTGTAGTTGTAGGGGAAAAAAAATGTCTAAAAGAAATTTTTATACAACCTGCCACCTTGATTAGAATTTCTGATACATGAATCAGCCTCACTGGATTAGTTTAAAGATAAAAAAAATCACATATAGAAAACATATCGTGACTAAAACTAGACTAAAACTATGAAGAGTTTTCGTTTCAAGACTACGTCTAAATCTAAAATAGCTGTCAAAATTAACACTGGTCCAATGATGTAATTTTACTTCGGCTTGGCTTCATGCACCACTGAGCAACTTTCACAGGCATGAAGGGGGCCCCACCTCCAGCACTGTATCCAGTTCTCTTTATACATCAATGACCATCACTGATAAAGCTATCTCCCATCTTCCTTTTTTGTTTCTAAGGAAATAAAAGCTATATATTTTGCAAACATGCAAATCAGGGTTTTCTTTGAAAATAGAACAACGGCAATGTCAAACTATCGAGGGACTCTGGCAGTGAATGTGAATAATATCACTGCACATATGTTCATGATATTCCATCCACCTCCTGTATAGATACATACAGGGTATGATGCAAACATATTTTGTGCTGCTCAGCATATTGTGAGACAGAGCTGTGAAAATCGATCGGATTAATATCCAAACACTTTGTTTTTCCTGTTGTTTTGAAGCACAAGAAGGATGTTGGTGTGGTTTTCTTTTTTCACTTTGATAAATTGTTGTTGCTGATACATTGATCTCTTTCCTTGTTCCTTGTCTGTCTATTTATAAACCAGTACACACACACACACACACACACACAGATAGAACAGAAACTCCCTCACCGGGCTCGGACAGAGCCAGCACTCCTCGCTCCGGGGCGTCTTTACTGATCTCCTCCTCCTCCAGTTGGTATGAGTCGAAGCTGTAGCTCTGCACCACGCCGCTCTCTCTGCCCTCCCTCCACCCCTCCCTGCCTCCATCCCTCCATCCAGCTCTCCCTCCATCCCTCCACACATCTCTCTCCTCAGGCGTCTGGACCGGTGTGGGCCTGCGGCGCTCTGCTCCCACAGAGCCCATGTCTGTGCTTCAAGTATACACTCACACACACAAACACACACACTTAGCACTCCTCTTGACTCTACAGGCTACACACTCATGGGAGCGTGCATGTTAGACACAATCCCCAAGACACGCCCTGGAAGAGAGGCAGGAGACCTTCAGATGATGGAGGATCTGCGGGGCGAAACAACAGGAGACAGAAACAGAATTAAAATGTAAAAGAAGAGGCAGAGATGGAATAGAAAGAAAAAAACAATCTGTCAGCGCCGTGCTGAAAGTGACAAGAGTCAAGGTTAGACACTCCAAAGAAACTCAGTTTGCCGCGTGTGTTTGTGTGTGTGTCGATGTGTGAGACGCATATTAAATGAGAGTGACAAAGGATGCATAGGAGACAGACAAGGTAGCGAAAATGCAGCTCTGCATTCAATATTTCTCTGTTTTATAACTTTGTGTTCTGAATATTTTGGGAGTTTTGACTGCAATTAAGACAAAACCAGCATCCTGAAGACGTCATTTTGGGGTTGGGGGGGGGGGATTGTGACAGGCCTTTTTCCACTATCCTCTGACATTTTATGGACTAATTGATTGATGAATCAGTTAACTGAGAAAAAACAAATCAATCATCAGTCCATAATGAAGATAATTGTAGCCGCAGCTCTATATAAGTGGTCTGTTTGATGAAGAGGACAACAAACCAGAACGAATTGCTTGAAATAAATTGTCTGACATAAAGCGTCTTAATTAGCTAATGAATTCTGGGACATTCAAAGTGAAGTCACCAATTAAGATTAAAACACTGACAGGTGGAAAAGGGCTGCCGTTATTTATGACATTTATCCAGGGGCGTATCTTTGATTTGAGAGCTGGGGGGACACAATAAAAGGGGGCTCTGGGGTGAAATGTGCGATTTAAATATTAATTCCTGCACTGCTTCATAGATTAAGGGTTTAAATTTTTTTTTTAATTTTTTAGAGTTTTTCAGAGCAGAATCAGCAGTTTAATTCATATTCTCTGGCGGAATCTGACGGCTGGACAAATAGTTGTGTATTAGAGTCAAAATAAAATTAAAAATGTCTTTTATCCCTTTTAAATGACATCTTCTGACATTTTTTGCAGCATTTCAACAGTATATGCCAAAAAAAATTAAATAAATAAAAAATGTAAGTAAACTGCCTCTGCACAGCCAGTCTCAAGGATCAGGTGCTGGTCAGCCACAGGAACATCTCAGATAAAATCATAAACATAAACCACTGCACACTGAACTGAATATCTGTGATTTTATCAAGAGTGGACAATGCGTTTTGCTCGTGGCTTCTTGAGCGAACCCGGAGAAGCCACGGGCGAAACACGTTCGCTCTTAATAAAATCACACCCATTCAGTTAAGTGTGCGGTGGTTTATGTTTATAAATAATAAATGTTTTTGATACAGCACCTGTCACAGAAATAATATTCACAAAGTACAATGAAACAATCAAACAATACATAAAAACAGAGGCGATATAACAGTTAAAACAAAGCAAAGAAGAAAGTAAAACACGGAGCAAATACAGGCCACTGAGGATCCAAACAGAAACACTAGGGAACAAGCATCTGATAATTTAGGTTAGGACAAAGGTCATTTTAAGAAGATGGGTCTACACCAGTCTCAACCATAATATCAAGACATCCACCCATTGATCAATCTGCAACTTTTAGCTGCACAGAGCGAGCTAGCAACAGCATGGTACCTCTGTGTGTCTTTGTTTCCTCAAAATAACCGTGGTTACAGGCCGCAGACTAGAATTTATTCACTCATGGAAAGTGTTATCTGTGACAGATCCAGATTATGTGCAAGGAATTTTACCATTTTACAAAACATGGAGCATACGATGTGCTTCGTTGTCTGTCTCTCCCTGATGGAAATACTATCCTGTCGGTGTTACTACACGCCCACATTTCAACAATCAAACCTTTGTTTTCATTTTCAAAACAATGTGGCTGAGGTCTAATTCATTCATTCATTCATTCATTCATTCATCTCTCCCTCGTCTTCCTGATCTAATGGTGGGGGAAGTGTGTGTGGAGCTAGCAGTCTGCTGTAGCTCTGCTAAACACAAACCCTGCCCACTTGTAGCAGCCCAGTCAGTGTGAAGGATTTTATTTAAATCCCTCTTGTAACTACAGAGAACAGAAGGTAAAGATTCTGCATCACTGGGACTTAAAGGACAACTTCGGTATTTTTCAACCTGGGCCCTATTTCCCCATGTGTATGTGTGCGTATGATTCATAGGTACAACTCGTTCTAAAATTGGTTCAGTATTGAGGGAGGCGGATGCAGCCGGGAGCCGCGAAACGAGCTAAAACGGTAACGGGGGCAAATGCGTCCCGTATAAGTTTGCGCATTAAAAGTGCTTTTTTTCGCCACTGACCGGTTCAGATCGCCAGTGCTATCTCTGTAAATAGCATACTAAACGTTTCCCTGACCCTTCACCTCCTCCCGGCAGGAGCCATGCTGAGCGCCGCTCAGAGTGGCGCTGGTTGTCCCGGAGTAGAGCTGAGAGTTTTACTGCATCGATTGAAAACAATGGTTCATGTTTGTGCTTATCTGAATTGCAAGAACAGGATGTCGCACAACACCCCGTACAGCTTTCATAGGCTGCCTTTGTCGGACGGCGAGATGCTGAAGTTGTGGCTAGTTGTGCTACAAATGGATGCTAACACTCCCGTCCAGACACTGCGCCTTGCAGACCATCGGGTCTGCAGTGCTCACTTCTCCCAAGATGACTACTGCCAGCCGAAGAAGAGAAGACATCCAATCCCGAAACACCTCTTCCTCAAGAAAACGGCTTAAAGCATAATTTGTGTGGTTGAAAGAATAATAAGGGTTTGAAAATAAGAGGGGAACAAATGGGATTTTGAAAAGTGGAAATTACATCTCTGCATTTTTAATCATGCACACTGGCTGCAAATTGTGATTACTTTCATGAACAACTAATCTGACAATTATTATTATAGTTTCTTGATTACTTGTTTCATTGTTTGGTCTGTGAAACATGAGAAAATGGAACAAGATGCACATCACGATTTCCTAAAGCCCAAGTTGATGCCTTTATACTGTTTGTTTTATCCAATCAATAGCCCGAAACCAAAAAGATATTCTTTTTACAGTGATGACAAATACCTTATCATTTAATAAAAATTTGTTCATTCATAGAATGAGCCGTTTATATCTACACAGGGAGTGAGTTCTTGTCTATGGAGGCTGCCATGTTACACTGCCATGTTTCTATGGTCGCCCAGAATGCACAAACCAAACACTGGCTCGAGGTAGGGCCATTTGCGTTTTTTCGCTGGTCACCATGGTTAGAAGTTCTTTCATGAAGAGAGCATTACAAAAACACCTATTTTTTAAAACAAATCACTGCTTAATTCAATGTATTTACCAGTTTAAGTCACTAGGTACATTTGTTCTGGAGAAGAAGAGACCTCTGCAGATAATCTGACTCTCTGTAAAAACCTCCTGAAAGCCTGAATCTTAAAGTTATCAGAGAAAAAGGTGAGAAGCATTAGCAAGTGCTGGGCTAGGGGCCTGACCTCGACATGCTGAGCAGCGTCAGAGAAGTGCAGATCTTTCTTTAACCTGAAACTGCTTTATTCAGTGTTATTACAGGCTTAAATCACCTGGTCAGTTGTATTGGAGAGGAAGAGACCTCTGTGGATAATTCAGCTCCTGGTAAAAACATCCTGAACAATGACCACTGAAGGAAATCTAAGCAGACGAGGTTTCAGCTTGTTGCAATCTGCAGTCCTCACCTTGAGTTACCTCTAAATCCCCCTAAATCTTACACACTGGACTTTTAAATTTTCTGTTGATCAACTAGGCATCCAGCTTAATCATGCAACATCTTCACCCTCTATCCAACACAACTGAAGGTGTCGGGCCTAATGCAAACACCTCTCATAAGGTCTTCCTAGCAGCTGAAGCGTGGCTCAATAACCTGCTTTCATTCACTGAGGGTCAAAAGGGAGCTGCTATTGTTACAGGCTGGATCAATATAAATGAGTACTGACACTATGTTCCATATGCAAACACTTAAAAGCACAGAAGCTCATCTACCTGCACACCTGTGTGGTTACACAAACACATCAGTACACGCACACAATCCAGCTCTGTCATCACCTGCTCACCTCTGATGCCCTGCATCACCAAATCAAGCCGCTCACTCCTGGAAACTGCTTTTGTCTTTAGGGTGAGATCCTATTTTAAAACCCCGGCTGTCTGCAAAAGTGTCAGGATCTGATGATGTAAGAAGGTTATCATCTCTGTAATTTGGGCTCATCCTGGCCTCCGGTGCAGATGCAGCGGAACAGGGAGAGGGGTGATTGAATAGAGGCTGCCTCTCCTGGACGGTAAAGGCTCATTGAGAGCAGCGTGCGTGCTTGTTTTAAATCTAATAATGATGCCAATTCACTTGCGTCTCACACACACAGCCGCGTGCAGTGTGCGTTTGCAGACTTGAGGCGGCGCTCTCAGCCTTCCTCCATTAAATTAAAAGGCTCCAGCCTGCGACCATAATTGAATTGCAGTCTCATATAACGCTGCAGTTTCTATTGTTTACATGTAGGCCTATAATAAAAAATGAGCATCAGGAGTGAGTAAAAGCACTTCATATCACACCTGCAGCAGACAGCCTGGGGGGTGAATATCAGTGTTAAATGCGTTTAACTCCAAGTCAATTAAGCTCACGTGTTTTGCTTGTTAGGCTCCTATAGAGGCGCATGTGAACATGAAAAATTGTAATAAATCAAAGGCAAAAACACGACGGCTAAGCAGTGGAGGACACGCACACACACACACACACACACACACACACACACACACAGATGCTCTCTCAGTTATTCCGCTTCTTCTTTTTCCCAAATCATCATTAAAACGATGCCAATCAAGTCCAACAAGGTTTAAATGTCGCTTTTAAATCCATCCTGGTGTTTGTGTGCGCGCTTTCCGCCTCAGAGGAAAAACAAAAACACACAAACAACAGGTTATTAATGGCCCCTTTACCTCCGGTGTCTCCCCTCTCGCTGCCCTGGTTCGTGCCCGCTCCCCGCGGCTTTCACAGCAGCAGGAGCGGAGTCCTTTTTCTGCGGGATCCTCGAGGTGCCGGCCGGACCTTGTCCCCCTCATCAGCCCGTCTCCATCAGACAGAAGGGAAGCCCCCGGTGCCGTCCTGCGTGCGCTCCTAACGCACCATCCAGCAGCAGCAGAGAAAAGGAAGCGTGGATGGATGGATGAGGAGAGCGGAGGGGGGGAGGAGGAGAGAGGAGGAGGAGGGGGTGAGGGAGGAGGGGAGGGGGGGGAGGGAGGGAGGGAGGGATGTTGCCTCTGGCTGTTCATCTTTTGCAATCAGTCTTTTCAAACGCGCTATTAGAGAGGAGGATGAAACCATCCAGATGCATGTTTAATAACTTTTTCTCTTCCTCCAGAAAACACTCTGCATACCGTTTCAGGCGTGTTGTAAATTATTAAGAGTGTTTTTGTACACACCACAGGAAGTAAACTGGGATTAAACACTGAATTTCAAGAGAGGAAAAAGACAAAATGCATGACATTTTTAAATATTTTATTATAACTTAACAGTGTTATAATGCAGCCTGTGCGCTACAGACAGAAATCCTCTATTTACAGCAATATGTCAAATAAAAAACATTATAAATGTTCTTTCTTAATGTTTAATGTTTTTTTCTTTCTTTCCTTTTTCTCCATTTTTCTCAATTTCTTCAGTTTTATTTGCCTTCATTGTCATGGCGTGTGAAGAACATGTGTTGCCAAAGCATATTGATAAGGAAAACACTGGAAATGAAAGGGGAAAGAACAATAGAGGGAAAGTCACATACACACACACACACACACACACACACCCACACACACACACACACACACACTTATTGGCACTGAAGCTTGTGTGTGATTGACAGTTTTATCGGTTCAGTTCAATATGCTAATGTTTTATTATTGGCAGTGGCTCCGTCATATTGCACACCCCCACTGCTGCCATAGAGGAACGGAGCCAGATGGGAATTAGCTAAATGGTATAGCTGTCTTTTTTGGGGTGTGCAGTGGCCCAAAACAGACCCGGGATCTGTTGCTGAAGCTGCATTGCAGGGTGTGAGGTTGTGGGTTTAAATCCTGTCTTTAGCATCTCTGTCTTTGCACGACTTGTGAAAAGACACAGATGTTTTGACTCAGGAAAGTGTTGGCATTGGATGTTTTTCTACGTCTTATACAAATCATATCAGCGTTTCTAAACTGATGTGGTATTTGAGTTGACTTCATCCAGTGGTGGAGGGGATGGTTGATGGTGTGTCACTGAGGTGAGATGCCTGTCAGGTGCAGGCCACTGTTTGAAATCAACAACCAGTCATTGCTGTGCCTTCCAGCGGCCAAACATACTTTATTTTTAGCGACCTGTTGCTGCATTTCCTGCTGGGATAGTGTCACAAAAAGCAGTTGTTCTTTACGGAGACATTACTGCATTTCCTGCTGTGATAATGGCATAAATAGCTGTTGTTTTGTGCTATGACAATGCTGCATTTCTTGCCGGGATAGTGCCACAAAAAAATGTTGTTGTTTTTTACTGAGACTTTGCTGCATTTCCTGCCGGGACAGTGCGACAAAAAGCAATTGGTTTCTACCCAGACATCACTGCATTTCCTGCCAGGATAGTGGCACAAAAAGAGATTGTTTTTTACCGAGGCATCACTGCATTTCCTGCCAGGATAGTGCCATGAAAAGAGGCCAAATTTTACTGAGACATCGCTCAGTTTCCTGCCAGGATAGAGCCACAGACATCATTGCGTTTTCTGCTGTGATAGTGCCATGAAAACCAATTGGTTTCTACCAAAACAATGCTGTATTTCCTGCTAGGATAGTCCCAAAAAATACAAGTATTTTTTACTAAGACATCGCTGCATTTCCTGCTTGGCTAATGCCACAAGAAGCAATTGTTTTTTACTGAGACATTGCTGCATTTCCTGCCAGGATAGTGCCATGAAGAGCAGCCAAATTCTACCAAGACATCGCTCAGTTTCCTGTCGGATAGTGCCACAAAAAGCTGTGTTTTTTACAGACATTGCTGCATTTCCAGCTAGGATTGTGCCACCAAAAGTGGGTATTTTAAACCAAAATCTGATATTTTCCTAACAAAAACCAAGTGTTTTTTGTGCCTAAACCTAACCACATGTTAACCACAGTGCTGTAGAAACATAACATTTCAACATATCTGCTGCATAAAAAATGTGATGCATTCATTCAATGCCAACATTAATTCTGGCGATTGCAAAAGACACAGCTTATTCATAACCAGAAGACTAATTTTTCTCCAAAGGCAATCACAGCTTTGGAAAGACAACAGACACTTTACTGACTGTACTGGACCTCCCTGCTCCTGAGACCTCGATATGATTCTGCTTCTCAGTGTGGAACAGCTTCATTCTTCATTGTTGTTACCCTCACACTTCTATCTGCTGATACTTGGGGCTGAATTTTCTCTGGGTTTGGCAGATTTAGAACAAAAAGAGTTACAGCAAATTGTGCTCCGACTGTTTTTAGCCCTGCTAGCGACACAACTCCTTGCTTCAGCCTTAAATATTTCAACAACGTTTGGATGGATTCATGTCCCCCCTGGATGAACTGTAATAACTTTGGAGTTCCTGACTTTTTATTTAACTCCATCTTTAGGTAAAGTTTTAGAAAATAATTTGGTTTATGACCAAACATATGCAGAACTGATGACAGACCTCGTAGCTTCAGCTGAACTTTGTGTTCAGTGGTAATTAACAAATTTACTGTCTTAGTTAGCATTAGCTCAACCACTGTGCTACAGTAGCATGGCAGCAACCTTTTAGTCTCATTTAGGGTTGATAAGATTTTAAAGTTCTCCTTTTTGTTTGTTCTTTGGGCTCAATCTTTATTTAGTAGTTGTGGAGATGTCACCACATAATGTAGCCTAATTTAATGTGGAAGTACAACTTATCAACTGGCTAGCACGCTAACTAGCTAACGCTGTTTCCCCATCAACACCCAGATCACAACAAAGTACTCTTCACTTTAGAAAGGCCACCACAAGAAAACACTTTCCCTGCTTATATTAGCGTAGAGACTACAATGTGTAGCCTACGTTTAGATTGGTTCCCGTCTGCATCCAGGCAGGGAAAATGAAAGGCTCGCTAATGTTAGCGATGTAGCTAATGTAGCTAGCATGCTAGCTATGGCTGATCACTGACCGGTTCCTAGAAAAACATTTAAAAAAGTTTGCTCACTGATCACATTTTGTTAAAAATAATATATAGAAATGAAAAATAAATAAATATAATTGTATCAAAAAGAAATATATAATACATTTTGTGTATCCTTGAGCTCTAAAATGGTTTGAATGCATTTGGTTCCTCATAAAACATTTGCAAAGACATTTAAAAATTTTTTTTAAATCCATCATTTTTTCCATCCATTTTCACCAGCTTACAGTGTTCTTCATACCAGCCTTTGTCGGTGCATTGCTGCACATCTTGGTGTGTTACCGGCACATATCAGTGTGTGAAACCATTGACAGGACTGTGTATCACGTCACAGGTGCATGAGATAAACAAACTTCGGCTAGTAAGGGTGAAAAATTACACAGGAAACCTTAAAGTAAAGTTTTGTTGTGCTCACTGTGTGAACTATTGAAATTGGAATTGAATATGAACACTCACTCAGTTCACCTTTGGTCAAAATCAGGCCTACATACTCATGATATGTAAATTTTACAGTCAAATTATGCTCTATTTCCACAGTCTTTTCAGTTCCACATTGCTATCCAAGGAAATAAAAACCCAATCTACAGTGACGGTGACAAAAAGATATAAAACCGCAGCATTGAAAGCCAAAGAAATACTTAGAAATGCCAAGTGCATTGGAAGCAGCTCTGTCCGGACAATGAAACAACACTAATCTGCGATTTATCAAGCAAACTGTTCTTTATGAGCCACACAAACATATCATGTGGCACAGCAGGCATTTTGACGCTGGTCCAGAAACACGTTCTTGAGATGAATTTAATCTGCGTGAAATCCTCTGGATCACGAGGGCGTTGTTTTCTGCTTGTCTGCCTGCTTATCTCTTTAGCTGGCTGTTTGTTTACCTGTCTGCCTCTCACTTTACCTGTCAGCGTGGGTTACATTGAGTTGCCGAATTTGTGTCTTTCTGCCTGTCGAGCTCTCCGTTTGGCCGCGTGCCTGCCTTTCTCTCTGCCTGTCTGTCTGTCTGTGGCTTTGTCTTTCTCCCTGCTCAGCTTGTGGGAAGGCTTGCAGCTCTGGATTTATGCTGCGTGTTGAATAGTAATGGTTTGTCATGTTGTTTTAGCCCACAGCAATCTGTCCAGAAAGAATGAGTTAACGTTGGGATGTTGGGGTGTGTGTGTGTGTGTGTGTGTGTGTGTGTGTCCAGTAAATATTTTTCTCAGCAGCTCTGTTATGAATGTGTAAAAAGGTCAGGCCGTGTTACGCCTCCTTCACTCAAACAGAATTATTTTTTTGTACAACCAACACCCTGCGGGACTGTACTGACTCAAGTGTCAGTAAGTCTGTGCAAGTGTGTGTGTGTGTGTGTGTGTGTGTGTGTATCCCTCCATCCGCTCATCCATCCCTCCTTCCTGGCTGGTAAAGATGCTGAGTCTCAACAGTGTCTATATTTAGGTGCTGGTTCAATCAATGACGGCAGAGCCACAGCGCCATGACTCTGCATACTGATAGTACTACCGCCTATCGCCACCTCCACTCACCTCTGGAGAAAGAGATAAAGAAAGCCGGAGAGAGGCGGGGAAATGGGCAAATTAAAGAAATGATGACGAGAAAATGAGCTCAAAGCCGCTAGAAGAAAAAAAAACGACAGTCAGACGTGGCCTTAATCCAATCACACAATTAGAGGAAGAAAGGAGAGAGTGAGAGAAATAGGCACCAGGAGGAAGAAAAGGAGGTAATGATGTGCGAGGCAGGCAGGTGAAGAAGAGGAGGGATGAAAGGAAAGAGACAGGTGTAAACGCAGAGGCAGAGGGATCGGGGGATGAGGACAGATGGAGACAGAGAGAAGGGGTGATGAAGATGCAGGGACAGAAGGGAAGAAGACAGAAGACATGCACAGAAAGTAAAATAGAGAGTAAAAAAAGCTGCAGCGTCTGAGGAAAGAGGCGAAATGAGTTCCTTAGAGATGAAGAGACCGAGGGAAGAGAGGAGGAAAG